CTGCCCTGCCCTGCCCCGCCCTGCCGGCAGGCCCGGGGGCCGGGCGGAAGAGCTCGGGGGGCCGGGGAGGGGGCGAGCGCAGGGAGCGAAGGAGGAGGAAGAGGCTGCTGGCAGCACTTGGCGGAGGAGCGGACCGCCGCAGCCGAGCTCCGATGGGCGAACTCGAGGCGGAAGATAAGCTTGGGCCCGGTACGCAGACCCCGCTGGGTAGGGCCCGGAGCTCCGCTCAACATCACAGTGGCACCGGGCGAAGGCGCCGGGCTGTGCGCGCCTTCAGCAAACTGGCTCGGCGTCTCCTGCAAACTTTGCGGGGGGCGCGGCGGCGGCGGGAAGGCGCTGAGGCGGAAGACGACGAAGGCGGCTTTAAGCGCCCGCCCGGCCCCGATCGCGGTCAAGCAGGCGGCGGTGGCGGCGGCAGCAGCGTCCGACTGTGGTTGGGCGCGCTGAGCCCACCTCCTGCGGCCAGTTCCGGGGATCCGCGCCCGCTCACCCCTGGCGCGCAGGGGCTCAAGAATCACGGCAACACGTGTTTCCTGAACGCCGTGGTGCAGTGCCTGAGCCACACCGAGCTACTCGCCGCCTTCCTCCTGCTGGCTTTGCCCGACCAGCCAAGGCCATCCAGACCTGGATCGAAAGCCGCCTCCGGAGAGGTCACTCAGCACTTGGCAGCACTTGTACGCGCGCTCTGGACCCTCGAGTACACCCCGCAGCTCTCCGCAGACTTCAAGGTAAGGCCCTCGAGTGAGGAGGAGGAGGAGGGGCGAGCTGTCCTAGCATACCTGGATATTGACTCGTGTGCAGGACTGTAGTCTCTCGGCTGGGAGGCTGTGCAGGGATCCTTAATGGCTAAGGTCTGAACGCTTTCGAGCCGCTTGTAATCTACCCGTAAAGCCCTTTTCGGGGCGTGAGGTTTCAACCCACGGTTATAAGCTGCGAACGCAGCGTAACCTTCTGCAGTCCCCGAGTGTTCTGAGATCGAGTTAACGTCAAACTCCGCCGGAATGTTCACGCATCATTCCAACTCTAGCGGCGCCCTTTGAGATAAGCACCTGGCGGGAAACGGCTCCATTTAGTCAAAGCTGGGAGGATCGCTCACTCGTGCTTTTCTCTCCCCAGCCGCCACACTCCTTAAAGGAAACTGCCTGTCGTTCCCGTGCCGTCAGATTTCGGGAGGGGGGAGTAGCAGCACAAACACACACAAGTATACTGAGGACAGAATCATTGCCAACTAGAGGGAAAGAGAGGTTGTACTGCTGATGGGGGCACATCAAGAAGGGCAGCCCAAGCGACTCACGATGATGTTATTCGAGGTTGGGGATGGAAATCTGTTTTATTGGAGGCTAAATGTAGGCAGGTATTAAAGATACCTTATTTGCTTCATATTCTGTGCAAATTCAGTGGCTGCATATAGTGTACCTTTGGAGCTTGGGTTAGACAACTGGTTCTGTTTCTGTCCCATGTCAAAGCTAGGTGAAAGATAAAGTCTGCCTCTTGAAAGTTGGTTTGTTTGTTTAAATCCGAGAGGATGATAAAAAAATCTTTGGTGCTCCAAGAAGGAGATAGATTCTAGTGACAGCTGTCATGCTTGGCCAGCCTTCTTCAGCCTGATCCTCTCCTGATGAGTTGAGACTACAATTTCCAGAGTTCCCAGCCAGCATGGCCACCTCTGAAAGCAGTGATTATGACATAACTAGCAAGTGCAGACTGGGAAAAGCTGTGCTTGGCTGTTTCAAACTCTCCTGTTTTCCCCATTCTTGGCAAAGGTGATTACAAAGTATTGTGCTGGAAAGGTAAATATAAAGTACCGATTGTCTCAGAAGCTTTGGTTCTGTAGTGCTCAACTTTGGTACAGACCTTTGAAGATGAAAAGGAGAGATTTATCACTGAGTAAGAGCCCTGCAACTCCCTGCCTGTGCCGAACCTCAGATGATATTGGGGCAGTCAGGCAGATGAATATGCCTGCAGGTTGGGAACAAAGATCAGAGGAACAGAAGCGTCAAGCTGGGTTACCTTCTTTCAGCCTCATTCTCCCAGAGCGCTGTGCTAATCCCATGCCAGTGGGGATGGAGGGGCTTCGCATCACAGCGTCCCTCAGGTGCTGGTTTTAGATCAAAAGTGCAGATCAGTGTAAGTAAGTCATTTTCCTCTGCTTTATGAGATTCCCAACTAGGCACAGCCAATCAGGACTCTTTGCTGTTAGCTGAGCTCATGTCATGAAGAGTGAGAGAAAAACAAAGTAGAAGGAAACTGGAGAAGTAAAGCCAGTCCAGACCAGCTGCTGAGAAACATCAGGGTGACAAAGAGATATTCACATTTCCTAAGGAGGGGGTGGGGATCTTGCATGCTGCTTCCTGTTGGGCCTCTCTCCTGTGCTTAAGCAAGCAAGTGATGCTAGGCCTGCTCTACAGGAACTTTACTAGGAAGCTCAGCATCCTGAGCCAGAGGTTTGCCAGCATAGTTTGTTTACATTTTTTGCAATTCCTGGGTGGAGGAAAAAAATGGATGGATGACATTGTAGAAGAGGAATGTGCAACTTCCATCAGCTTGAGGGCAGCACCAGGCTGTGCATAGCATGTCAAGGATCACATCTCAAATGTGCCTGAGACTGGTACCCACTGGAGTTCTTACGGTATGAAGTGGATCCTAATCCTTTATATTTTACCCCCCCCCATGCAAAAATATAAAATAAGACAAAACCCCAACCCAGTCCCCCCCCCCAAAAACAAGGACAACATGTTTGGACCAAGCTACTATGAGAGGGTGTAGTGGGGTCACAGCAAAGATGCTGTCAGGCACCTCTGTTGTGGTGAGATTGAGGAACAGTGGAAAAGGCTTCTCATTCAAAAGGGGAAGTTACAGTTAGTGTGCTGGAATTTCCTATTTGGGGAAGAATGTGTTCTCCAGAGAAGTGGACCTAGGAGATAGGATTAGGAGGCCCTATGGGCTGAGAGCATCCCATTTCTGTTTGTTGTGGAAGGTATTATCTGGTACCTTTTGTTGGCAGATTGGATTCTTTGGAGGGAGCCTTTTCTGTCTCTGGTGCTCACGTTTGGCTCCTGGCTGTCACAGGCTGTCTCAGCTTTGGTGAAATCTCTTGTTCCTAATTCTACTGCTTGACAGTCCTGCTGATAATAGGGGAATGCGTGTGTTTCTCTCCTTATTGATGCAGCAGCCGCTGTCAAAGGTGAAATTGTTTTAGCTTCTTCCTATTATTTATTTTATTTTTTATTTATTGCTCTGGGAAGAGTCTGTATGCTCAGTTGGATATGGGGTTACAGGCAAGGATTTAGAAATAGGCAACTCAAGTTTCAGATTCTCCAGACTGAGGCTCCTCAAGGGAAAACAGGAAACAAGAACAATATCAATATTCAGTTTTAAAAAGCTGCTTGGGGAGAATGTAAACAAGTTGCACATCCCTTATTACAAGGCATCGTGTTGCATAGTTGACTGATTTATTTCTGTGTTTTTCTTAAATCCCTAAGTCAGTTTAATAAAAGATAGTTCATATGCAAAAGGCTGGGAAGTTACAGCCTTTGGAAACCTATGGTAAATACAAAGGTGGTAGAAATTAAAATGGAAAGGCAATAGTTATATAGATCCAGGCAGAAGAAATGGAGGCCCAGGACCCCTTGTGTATCCAAGATTAAGTGATAGCTTGCATGTGTAAATGAGCCATTAGAAGTCTTAACACTAGATATAAATGCTTGTATGTTACCCAGAGTTCCAAATACTAGCTTTTAATGGTGTGGGCTGCAGACAGAAGATTGAGTATTCTGTGGGAAATTATAAGTTTCCTATTTTTGTTTTCCTATTTGTGGAAATAGCCAATGGTGAGCTGACAAAGGAAAAAGCAGTTGCATCTCTAGGAACATTTTTTCTCACCTTGGCATATTTGGCATTCTGCTAGTTCCTGGTGAGGCAATTTAAAGGTTCTCTCAGCAGAGCATTTCAGGGTAAGACTGACAGGGGTGGGTGGGCAAAGTTTGTGGAATGTAAGTTGTTTATATAGAAAGTGATGCAGCCTAGAGTATGGAAATTGAAATCTACAGCCTAATAATTCAAATTTCATCTCTGTTGTGACTTTTCCAGCTGGTCTCAGACAGATCTCTGATCTCATCATCTGCAATATGGAGATAATAATAATGACATCTATCTTGTGAGATTGCTGTAAGGTTAGCACCAAACTAATATTTCTCAGTTGATTTCAACCTTCAGAAGTGATGTATACACTCGCAGAAGGGATAGTATCATTATTTTCCACATACGCCTATCTTACCAGCAAACAGGGTAGAATATTTTGTCCTTAAGAGTTACAGAATATACTAGTCTTTAGACTTAGTAGAAGGCAAACATGCCTGTGTCTTCAGTTGACAAAAGGCAGTCTTGGAATGTTGAACATGTAGTAGTTTTGGAATGAAACTTGCATTCTGAGGCACAATGACTTAGAGTGGATCAGTCCCATTAAATATTGTGAATCTTTTTTCTAGGCTCCAGCTGTAATTACTGACTCGCCCATAGAACTGTAATGTTTCATTCATATATTTAAGATTAAAGAAATGAATAATGACTTCCATTGCCATCATTTCACCTCACGTGCAGGTTTTGCATTGAAATCCGTTGCCTTATTCGTTGGCCAGGCAGAATATGGATATGTATAGTATAAGCCAATTCTGTGCCCTGCTTGCTGTCAGCCTACACAGTCACTAACTTTTTATAGGTATCTTCTTAGTCTAAGGCCTTTTTATTGGATTGATTGATTGATTGATTTAATTGATTTATTAAGCAGTTCAGAGGAAGAATTTGAACACATAAAACTTGAACTTAAAATTTAGGATCTTGATAGAACATTCCCATTTCAGAAAAGAATGCAAGGCAGCCAGATTTTCCCCATTGCTGGAATGTTGTTAATCTTTTTTTCCTGTGGTCTGTATAATTTCTTACATAAATAACAAGAGTTTGAGGCACAGTTTGGAAGGGAGGAGGGGAATGGGAGATTAAAATATTACCTTAATCTCTATCTTCAAAAACTGGATGTAGATAACCTCCTTTTCAGCCCTAGACCATATTTCAAGTTTGAGCTCTTGGGTAGGAAGGTCCTTTGGCATATACACACCCTTTGTTTGTTTATTGTTATATTGAATAGTAATGTTTGCTGGGAGCTGTGTTTCTAGGAAACAGCACAGCAGCGAGAAGGAGATTGTGCAGGAAAAGCAGAGGGAGAAGAGCAACCATTTCTCCTGTGTTAGTGCCATCCCAGGCAGTTTCACGTTCACATGATGGAACACAATCTGCTCTTTCCTAGTTTCATCTAAGTCTTTCTCACCTACTTCTGGATTATGAAGAGCTTGGCAATACAACAACTGCATTGAATCACACATAAACATTTCCCCCATTGTATAATCATGGGAGAAATGGCTCTTTAGGGATTCTCTTGGGTAACCTTACCCTGGGAACACTACGATGATCTTTTTTATTTCTCTCCTTTTTATTCCTGATGGGCAAGTAGAAAAAAGAGAATGCAGACTGCTGCTGGGGGAGGGCAGGGCCAGGGGCGGCTCCCTGCCTGTTGAACACTGTCTCCAGCATGGACTCACTTGGTTGCTTTTGCCACAGTTTGTAAAATCCTAAAATACGAAGCTGGATTTGAAGCTCTCATTAGTGCCTAGTGCTTATCCTTCACAGCAGTATTTTAAGTCAAGGATTTTAAGCCTAAGAAAGGAAATGTTAT